CATCTTCCTAACGCAGGCCAGGAGGCTGGCTGGCTGCCTTTGCCACAAGGGTGTGTGCTGCTGGCTGATGGTCAACTTGGGTGTTGACCAGGACCTCCAAATTCTTTTCTGCAAAGCTGCTTTCCAGCCAGCAGGCCCCCAGCCTCTGTTGATGCATGGGGTTATTCTTCCCTCCCCTCTGCAGGATTCTGCATTGCCCTTTGACTGCCCCAAACCCTTTGCACAGGACCCCCGCTGGCCCATTTCTCCAGCCTATGGAGGTCCTTCTGAATGGCAGCACAACCATGTGGTTGTGCATCAAGTGCATCAAGGAGTGCATTCAAGCACTCCTCCCAGTTTTTTATCATCTGCAAATTTGCTGAGGGTGCCTTCTGTTGCATTGGCGAGATCATCAGCCGTCTTATTGTTAAACTTTTACCTAATATAGTTAAGCTTTACTAACGGTGTTTAAAAATTCTAAGCACTAACCCAAAAATGTTCTGAAATCTGAAAATCAAAAAGTATCCTAAACACTATGTACAGCCACTCCTATCATGCATAGCATTTAAGCATTAACAGAATCAGAACTGTAAAGACAAGACTTCGTTTCCATACAAGAGAGCAAGCACAACTTACTATAACACTTCTAAGGTAACAGGAACGTTGAGTCAGAATTACTAGTCATAAAAATCATTTATTACAAAGCAAAACTAACTTACTTCACTGTCTCTCCTTAGCACAGCACCCAGTGTTGTAAAAGCTGTCCTCACAGCTGTCTTGGCATTAAATTTTTTTCCAAAGGTGGCATCAAATCACGCAGTAATCACACTTGAGAATTATAACCGCATTTTACAAAATATTTCAAGGCAATAATGCACGCTACTGACAAACTTTCTAGCTCATGAGCTATTGAACATTCTTGCTTTGGCACAACAAAAACTTGCACGTGCACTTTCAAATTTCACCCGACAAACAGAATCAAAGTACTTGAATGCTCTGCACATTAGGTCTGCTTGCCTTGCATACAATTCTATACATTTTGATGATGGATACAGAACAATGATTCTGAAGCCAGCATGAATAAAAATAGCCGTTTATCCTTAGCAGCACAGTGTAAGTTGAGCTTCTGCTGTGGCGTAAGTTGAGCTTCTGCTGTGGCGTACTGGGAAGCAATGACTGAAGAGTTGACTGCCACCTGTCTTCATAGAGCAACTTACAATCTGGAATCAGGCTAGAAAACACTAGTGTGAAGAATTTTTTTTACAGCATCTTGTGTAGAGGCTGGCCACAGAAGCTGTGGTCAGAGTTACCTGTTCCACTTAGAACTCTTTGCAGCTATGTTCCAATAGGAGTCAATTCTACAACTCATTCACAAGTTACATGTGAGTATGTAATGGCTACAGAAATCCCTCGGCTGAAGTCCTCTGGAGACAGGAACAGAAAGTAAAAATCAATGTTCTTGCAGCTGCTGAAGTCTCACGCCCCCTAACACCATCTATTCTAATGCTTTACCCATGGCAGTTAACAAAATTGCTGAGCCATGAAAGCTGGAAGTCAGAGCCAAAAATAAACCTCTGTGAAAGAACGATCTTGATGTACAGTTGCATGAAAGAGAGCAATCACCACAAATTGGAAAAAAATCAGAACAGACACCACTTTGGACAGCTGCCCTGGTCACTTAAAAACCCAGATGGAATTCATCTAGCCTTAGGCAGGGGACAGGGGTGGAGAAAAAGGCACTGGAGAGAAAATATACAAGCTGGAACACATCTGAGGAACGGAAAGACAAGCAGAATGATCACCAATTAGCCTAAGGACAAGGGTCTGCAGCTAACGCATTCTTGCGGTGATCACATATGGCCTCTCACCAGAGATCTGGAGCAGCTGGACTGGCGATTTGACTATACCATCATGTACTGCAGCATCGCATCCTTCTCTGCAGCCTAATCAAAACTGATATTCTACTTCTAGCAACAGAAAAAAATTATTTCAAATTCAGAAAAACAGGAAGTCAGGTAATTTGGCCAATTCATTCCATCAGTGAACTTTTAGTAGGAACAATGTTTAAAAACTCATTTTTTCCCCTCAATATGGCATTGATGCCTGCCTGCCTCAGCCTTCTATTCTACAACAAAAACTAAGCACGGCAATAGTGCTTTTCTAACTATTTTTCCACCAAAAAATACTCTTGCTGTAAAATGGATCACAGTTCCTTTTACTGAGGAAGGCCACCTTAACTGCTCCTGCTAGGTAATCTAAATTGTCCTATTCTCATCTCAAGTACATCTGACAGGCTGAAAATAAAGGCAGCAAGCAGGATTCATTCAAGTTTTAATAATTTCTTTTGAAAGCTGAGAAAGAACAAACAAATTGGCCGGTTCTGAATAAAGTATGCATAATAAACTTAGATATTCTGTTATCATCTGTTACCAGGGGTGTTATCATCACCTCTTTGGGATACTGCAGATTTGCATCAAAAGCTAGTATGACCAATCAAGCTCTTTCAACAAGCTCCTCCCAACCCGCCTCACAGGTGTCCTTTCAAAAACAACAAAAAGCATCACTATGTATTTTCTAGGGAGGAATACCATACAGGAGTTCTAGGAAATACGGTATCAGACTTTTACTCACCTTTTTTTTTTTTTAAATTGTAATCAGACTTTAAGGGAAAACAGCCTATTTCCTCAAGTTGGAAGTTTCACTCATTAATATGGTTCTGAGAGCACCATAAGATACGTAAATTAAGCAAAACATCTTAACAGTTCCTACAGCAGAAGTCTCTAACAGATGTCACTTCAAAGCTAGATCTCTGGAAAAAATCCCATATATTCTCCACAACGGCATACCAAGTGAAAGCTACATCAACATTCAGCCAGACACAGAAATTAAGTGGGGTGCTGGTCACCTGGATGGAAGCTGTTGGGAACTCAAAGCAACCGAGAATTTTTCTTTCCATTCAGCCTCACCACACTATGAATTTGAGGTAATCCTGATCAAAAAACTGCTGTAAAAACACTGAGTTCAGAAACCAATTAGTAGATGTTGTGATAATAGACAAGCTTTTCTTTAGAAGTTGAATGCTTTCACGTGAAGTAAAAACACAGATGAAGCACACACGTTTTCTAGCTCATTCCTGAGCAAGTGCATCCACAGCTGGGGCTGAAAGAACATTGTCTAGAACAGTTCACCCGTGTTTTGTTTCAAACGTTACCAGTATGTACATACAAGAGGAGAAATACAACCAATCCTGAAAAATTACTGTTCCACTAGGTTCCATGTAACTTAAGATCAGTCTTACCCCGTGAAAACCTGCAGTTACCAATTTTAGGGGCATCTGTGAAACTAAATTTCTCCCAAGAAAGTTTTCTTTCCTTTATTGATCTTCTGCTTTGTTGGATGAGCCGCCCAGCTATGCAGTCACCAGCATCTTTTAAGTAGCTGGCAGCATAATGTTTCTACAACACTTTTGCTTGTTCTCATTATAACTGAAGAGCTTAGAAATGTTTAGCAGAAACAGGCTTGTGACATGGATTGAAGCAAAAAGGAAGAAAACTCTTTTTCTAATATTTTTCTGCAGTACTTGCCAAAAGAAAACTGAGGTAAGACACACAAAGAGTATGCACTACCTACCTTGAAATACCTCCCACCTAGGACAAAACCATATCTAGCACAATTTCCAACTGAGGAACTATCAGATGGGTGCACTTTTATTCCTTCCACAACTATTCCGAAGCCTTGTATTATCACTTATTAACAAAGTCTCAATCAAAACCAAAATAAAAATCAACAGTGATTGCCTTCCATAAACCCAGACATCCTGGTTTCACATTAAGAAATATCCATACACAGCTTAAGAATGGCAAGCACTAAGTAGAGGAAAGCTAATCCAGAACAGAAGGCTACACAGCATAACTCAGAACACAACACACTCGTCAGAAACAGCCAGCAGAAACACAGAAGACAAGAAGAGGATCATAACTGTGCAGGGATCATAACCACAGTAAGATCATAAACAAAAGTCAGTGCCATCTCTCCTCACTGCAAGTGAAATACTAGTTCCTGGTTCTAAGTCCCTGAATAATAACAACCTAGTCTGGAGCGACTAAACAACACTAATTCATTAAGTCAGTTACATATGAATTCTTCCCCAGTTGTAATTACACAGTGCTTCTAGAGTGTTTTTACTGTATCAGGCACAAACTAAAATTCACTTAAATTCTGGTAAAGAGGCCCTCTAAGATAGATTCCACATAATATACTGGACAAGAAAGGCTCAACTTAACCCCACCAACATAATTAATGAACATCCCGACATGGCACACAGAACAATGACAATAGCGATCAGCACTTCTGTTATCAGCACTTTGCACCCTCCAGCAGTTGAATAGCACTCTACCACCTAATAAAGCCAGAGTACATTAAATCAAATCGTGTCAGTGCAGTATTCCACTCCCAAAGCTACAAAATAGCCAACCTGAAGGATTTCTACCACTTGAGAAAAAATAAAGTGCAGAAATTATTATATTTTCTGAGCTGTTTTACCTACCTTGTCCTTGAAGATATGTGGGTTTTGATAGATGAAGTCACGATAGCTTTCTGTACGCACTTTATCCTATGATTTAAAGAACAAAACAATGTTCACTTTTTCTACTTACGTACAACGTATCGTTCAAAAATGCTGAGAAACTTGCTTTATAACTTGGCCTAAAGATATTTTGTGGCTACTGTACTTCTAAAGGCTCTGCAATCATGACACTTTCGATACTACATTCTTTCAGAATTTACTGTCTTTGCAAATGAAGCCAGCTGAGCCTCTGGAGGAAAAATAAGAAATTAGCTTATACTTTTCTGACCTGCTGCATTTGATTTTGGATGTTTCAAAGTTCTTAATACCTCTTCACCACTTCCCAGGAACAGCAGTAATAGAGTACCAATACTGCATCAACTTTACATAACAACCTTCTATACAATGGTAAAAATTTGAGTCACGAGCTCATAAAATGTTTCGTATCATTTTATTCTCTGACACTCCTGTGACACACAGATCCCTTAAAAAAAAAGTTATGGATCAGATTAACCTTTTCTATTTCTGAACAAACTGCAAATTTGCAAACCTGATGACAAGCTGTAACTGAAGCTGTACAGCCCATTCTATGAAAGCCCAATATAATAAACAAACTTAACTGTAATACAACATGACCTGAGAAGCTGTAATGTTTTCAAGTATACCACTAAACATTTATAGTATCTCAGTATACAAAAGCTAGCGGTATAGCTCAACCTACCAGCAAGGTAATGTATTAAAACATTGATTCTCTTAACATGCATCAGCAGGTACACAAATTGACGGCCAAGTATAGGTTTTGGAATTGCTGTTGCAGTTCAAGTGTTAGAGCAAAGTAAAAGAAAAATTGTAAGCAATTTTTATCTAGTAAAGACAAGTCTACAAATAATACTGAAGTACAAAAATCCAACTGCTTATATTTAAGTTAACATTCTTCTGCTATGGCAGGTAAGAATTTTTAGAAGCAATACAGAAACTAAAGAAATTTTCTCTAGTGAGAAAGAACAAAGTCTATTTTATTAGAAAAACATGATCAAAAAACAGAGACTGAGAACAAAGGATATGTTCATACAAATTCTGGAGACAAAACAAACTATTTTGAGCCTTGAAAATACTAAAATCCAGTTTTAAGTTTAGGAGGATTATCACACACACACAGAGCCCAAAGAAACAGTTAGGGATGATTTTAGGAAATTGTACTTTGAAATTATACATAATCAACATGAATAAAAAAATTGGGATCCTTTAAAATCATATTGGTTTACTATGACATTATATTCACAGGAACTATTTTTAGTACTTCACCTCTATTGCAGTGTATAATAGGTTTTGCTGAAATGACCAAAAAGTTTAAAAAAAAAATAAAAAATCAGAAGGTTCAGCATCAATCGAGAAAGCAGTCAGCTGGAAAGCTTTCAGCCTTACATCCTGCCCACTCACATCGCCTCAGCACTGCCCCAACTTAATCAATACAATTCTAGCTGCTGTCTCTACTATATGCACTGCTGCTCGAGCGAGCCACAGTCATTCACTTCAGGTCTCTCTACTCATCAATTCCATTATCTCACTCACCATTTCTATGTAATGCTGGTTTTTGTTCTGTTTTTAAATCAAATGGTAAGGAAATTTATTAAGGTGAGTCAAGAAATTCTGAGGCAAAAAAATAGAACAAGGGAAACGCTAACCATTTGGCCAGTGTGAAGTAACAACACTCTTCCCCCATCTCTGAAGTATTTGCAGAAAAAAAAACAAATTTTACCACTACCAGGCATAAGAAAAAAAAGGTTTCAAAACTGAACAGTGTCAGAAACAGACTTAAAATACAGACAGCAAGACTCCTTTCTTAAAAATTTCAATGTAGCAAGCCACTATATTTATATAAATAAGGTAGACTGTATGTCTACCTTAAAAGAAAAAAAAATCAAAGTGAATGCCTAGCATATAGGAAAAAAATTCAACGCACATGATAAAAATCAATTGCTTTCCTATGTTTAGGAAAGTCAAAGTTCTTCTTAAAAGCATTCTGATGAACATTCCCTGAAACCAATAACATACGATTTTGTCCCAACCTCCAGAATTATTACAAACTTTATTAGCAAACAGAAAGGCTTGCTCATCCTAAAGCATATAACATCTGAAATGACACCTTTATACAACTGCAATACCAAACTTCTGTAATTTTTATTTCTCTTCAAGACTTTAAATATATTTCTCTAGACTATACATTTTGGAAAACATTATTCTACCTCTGCAGACATCTCTGTGCTTCTGTAAAACCTCTGCCCCCCACCAAGTTAACCTCATGCTTATACTATTCCTAACACAGATTGACGCGTATTTCTATATCGGGGCCACTAAATGATATAGAAAGCAGAAAACTTTATATGCTACCTCTATGGACAGAGTCACTTCACGACTCCCGTATTCTATCTCTACATTAGGCAGGAATTTTATTTATTTCTGTCTTAAAATGATACAACTGTTTATGACTTTCACAACTATGATACTTTCTCTGAAAGGAAGCATTAAGAGATTTTGATTTTCACGTCAATTATAAGTTGTTGGGTTTTGTGTTTGTTTGTTGGGTTTTTTTTTAAAGTTAAAAGGGCATACACAGGTTTGCCTTCGAAGAGTTTTAAGCCTTAATTATTTTATCGTTATCATATAAAAGGAGCATACAATTTTTCCAGCTGTTCAATGTCATGTTATCAATACACTGAGCTGTGCACAAATACCAACAATTTCTGTTTACCTAATGTAATAAGAAACCACAATATTTGAGAAGTGCTTTTGCCTGACAAATTTCAATTGTCAGGAAAATATAATCCACAGGAAAATATTCACTGTCTGTACCATGTTTTATCTTCTAAGCACCCAGGAAAAAGCTGCTTTTGGCAAGGCAAGGTTGTGTACATATATTGTAATATATCTTCAAGCACACCGGTAGAGTAAATGATTTTACGTTCCTAATGCTTCCCATAGAGTAAACAGAATTTATACAAAGGAAATAAAACTGGAAAAAGACCTCTCAACCCAACTCCTAGGAAAAAACTATCATGTATAGAAAGGGTTAAAAATGCAGCTGCTCTGCAGTATATTTATGGGCACACAGCCCGCTTCATTCCATCTTTCCTCTTTAGTCCTACTAAGATGCAGCTGAGATGACTTTCTAACCTTTAGCATCTCTTCGTGTATCCCATAATGCCCATAGGAGCTGAAGTAAACACCATCCTCATCCTCCTGAAGGTCTGCAATGGCGCTGGATGACGAGCTGCTTCTGACATCTGCGTTCATCACAAAATCCTGCGCAAATTGCCTGTAATCAATTTGAAATATACCCTTGAGACAACTGTTTATGGGACCATGAAAAGGAGGCGGGGGTAGAGGGGGAGAAGGGGCTTGAAAGAGGTAAGGAACCCAGCCTGCACAGGGGCTTTGACAACAATGGAACCGGTTTTAAGTGTGCACAACCTCCCTCTGCCGGCTCCTCCAGGCTGCTGCACCACCATTCACCACGCTCCGTCCTCCGTCCATCACCCTCCTGCAATGACTACTTTCTGCTTTCAACCAGCAAATATCAGCAGTGAAACGTTCGGACTTCATTTCTGTTTTTAAGGAGGAGTTCTCTATTTTGCGCCCGCTAGTACAAAAGCTAGTACCACAGTGGTCAAAACAACACGTGTTGTAGGCTGCGTAACGCAGACATGGACTCGATACAACAAACAGCACAAGAACTACAAACCATACAACGCTGCACGACTAGTGGAAGGTAGAAGAAAGTACTTGAAAACTGAAGCATTTGGGTGGGAACAAACCAGAGCTTCGAATTCAATTTATTACTTTAATTTCAAGCTGCTTAGTTTTCCTCCTCCATGGCCTTCCACTCCTAATATGCATGTTCTTTTCCCATTTCTCAAAGCAGTTTTGATGACAAAATACACAAATCAAGGGTTTTATCATGAAAACACAATTAAAAGTTAACAAGCAAACAGCTCATACTATACCCACAATGAAGTGAAAAAGCAAACATGCTTCAGCCAGACAACATTCCTCCAAGGTCTACAGCTCAACAGCAACAAAACTTGCATCCTAGACCACTCCAAAGCATCCAAGGCTCACCTTCAACAGTGGTTATACTTCCTTAAATAGGAGCTTAACCTATAGAAGCTATAGGTACCATCTCATTACCAGTACCATCCTTATAGAACAACAAAACCAAAAATACTATTTCAGTCCTGACACGTCAAATACTTCTCTGCTTCAACTAGTTTGGATGAGGAAGAGAAGGTGGTAAGGGAATTCGTGTTAAAAGTTTGTCAATATCAGAAACTTCCTATACTTGCTGACATACAGGTAAGGTCTGGATCTTAGTTTTAATATCGCTCTTCACCACAGCAGTTTGCATTTTCCTTATTTTTAGATAAATATCAAAATGATAAAAATTGAAACTTACAAAAAACAGGTTCTATGACATACAATTAATTAGCATTTTGTAAGATTTAAACCCAATTTTAAATTTCAAATTATTTAAAATGGATTCAGCCAACAGTTCCTCCAGCCTATCCATGTAACACAAGTACCAAACAAACTCTAGAGACAGAACTGCCCTCCTGTCTTTTGAATCAAGAAAAAAGAAGATAAGTAAAAACAAAAGCCATCACCTCTAAACAGGGGACAGATTAAAAAATTCAGGATATACAAGCCATGCTCTTAAATCTCTAAGTTACATCAAATGCTAGAGGTGACCTGATTTATAGGACTGTTACCATTTTGGGGGGGGAACAAAAGGTCACTAGGCCTCCAGCTACCTGTCTTTGCTTTGTACCCCTTTCAATTCTCATAGTTCTACAAGTCTACTCAGTCTAGCAAACTTGGAAAAACGTTTCAGCAGAAATTATTTCGTACTCAACTAGTGAGTGTCCTCATACTACTACTCCCGGGCTCAGAAGGCAACAATCTGTAGGGAGCTGCATGACTGGTCCTGAACAGGCAGTCATTAAAAAACCTAAAATATTTTTTGCGCATCTTAAGAGAGCAAGACCTGCATAACGCAATCGTGTTGCTACTGAAAGAAGTTACAGTTACGTAGTCTCCCAAGAAGTCTCTGTAGCTAGGTATAGCATGAGAAAGCTCCTGATCTAGCTTTTTTTATTCCAGAAGTTGCAGTCAGCCAATCAGCCTACTACACACCGGTATAAACCTATTTCCATGACAGAAAACAATGGAAAAACAGGTTACTGTAGAGTAAGGTCCTGTACACTGTTCTTGCTCCACATCAGACTGCCAAGTTATCTTTAATTCGCAGAGGTCTACCCGAAAGGAAACATCTGTAGATGGTCTCTTTCAGTGGAGTAACCTCCAGCATGAATCAGTATTGCTATGAATTACAGCATGTAGACTACTACAATGCAATTGGTTCATCTGTCTATAATTTAAAACTGTGTTGCTTCATCAGATCTACATCTGGCTATTTTTGCTGCCAGCCGATCCCTGCTGAATTGAAGAGCCTGCATTGACAAAGAAAAATTAAAGGCTCCCTTTTACAACAGCAGATAATTTGATATACTAACTTCAAAAAGCAATCTAGATAAGCCTGATTGAAGTTCAGAGAGCTGAGAAGAAATTGCAACTGATGACCTGAAAAGGTTTTTCTTTCTTTTTAATGAAAAAGGGAACAAGAATAAGACAAGACGACACCACAGAAAAAACCCCAAGCTTTCCAAGTACAGTGACAAATTTTTTTCATTCTTATTGTTTATGATGAATTAATGCATACCGTACAGAGATATGTGAGAAGTACTGTATGCTATAAAGTACGATTTGCAAAAGTTCAACCCAGCTGATGACAAAACTGTTCATTTTTGACATGTATTAATTGTTCACAGCTGTTAGGATTTGAATACATAAATTTATTTTGGTATACTTAGTTACTAATAACATCAAGCGTGTACTCTCGAAATGTACAACAAACCCTCAAATGTATTTTACAAAACAAAGTTTTTGCCGCTTTACTTTTCCACAAAATAACATGAATTATTTTTCCAAGTCTCTTAAATACAATTTCAGTTCTTCAGTGCCCAATCAGTATGATCTTGAAATGACATGTTTGTACAGGATCTAATCCTGTGTGACCCAAAAATAAGTTTATATTCCCATTTTATCCATGAGCATCATCAATCCATATTTTGAAGACCTCAAGATTTAGAAGGAGCATGTACAGCTATGGGGATGTCCCGATTCCTGATTGCGATGCACTGAATAGTCTTACTAACAGAACCCACACCTGAGACTGAAAATAAAAGTAGCCGAAAAGTTGGTTTATTGATTTCACTGAGGGTTTCTCCAAACTGTAACTGGATTCTACTACCAACAATCATTGTTTGGAGCCATCTCTGAAAATGCTTAGAGTCCTATACTTAATTCATCAATACCTCCCTCTTCTCCATGGTGTACATCTTCAATGTTTAAATTCCTATCTAAAGGACTAATGGAAAAGTGTCTGAAAAACAAAGAGTGGCATGAAGCAAAATACATGTTTCTGGGCCATGTGCTTATGTAGCTTTCCTAAGCATACTTTGCTTTTTCAATTTGTGCAGGTTTTGTGTAGTTTTCACTAGTCATCTACAAGACATTTACTAATAATCTACAAGATAAAAGTCAAACCTACAGTCCCAACACGACTCATGAGTTTTATTCCGTAGTTACATTCTACCACTTCTTTGAATTTCTATTGGTCTTTAAACATGAACATCTCATCTTACCTAAAACACATCAAATAAAAAAACCCCAAAGTTCAAACACTTACTTCATTTTTTGAAGATCATCTTGTGCTCTAGCCAAGGCTGCTTCTGCAAGTCTTGCTCTGTGTTCTGCATGTTTTAATTGTTCAAGGAGCATCACGGTATCATTTAAACCATTAGAAGGCAAAACGTTTGCAGGTTCACAAAGATCTTCTATATCTGATGAAATGGGGAGAAAAAAAAACACACCTACCTGTCACGTGTTGCTTCACAGCAGCTCATAAACATACGATGTTTTCAGTGTTGCTATTTCTGTCTTTGGATGATTTGTAAAAGTAGTCTGTTTCACAAGAAGCGTCATTGAATTTGATAGGACTAACCACAAAACACAGTACTACTCAGTAAAAGCAAGTATGCTAGAAGCAAGCTCTAAGTTAACAAAGCAAATAAATCCACAATTCAGGCTTCTTTAAATACCAGTGTTTGATTATTGATAAAAGTGACATTAGGTTTAGACTGTAATTAAGTTAATTGCAGTCCTATCCTCTGTTTTTCCAGTTATGTTATTCTGAGGCCAAAAGGGCTGTTAATGGTAATAGTAAAAGGTAAGACGGTATATAAATATAAAATGCCTTAATAATTAAACAGTAACTCTTAATTTTCAAACCAATTCCTTGGGCTCTTATAAAGCTTATGAACGCACAAAACTCAAAAGAGGATAAGCAGAATTAATCTAGATGAAACATTGCTTTTTAACTATCAAAACAGACTCGGCACTAGGTCCCATTCACCTCTTGCTAAATTCAGCTGGTGATTTCAACAGACACGGGTGGATAAAAAAAAATGGTGCTACTCTGTTTTTGGATAGAGTAAGAAGTTACTGCCAGCTTATTGGGCAAAAGACTTCATTAAAACCCCATATATCTATTCCTTTTAATCATGGAAGACTGACTGTTTGGCCCATGGAACCAAAACAAAGCACAGGTACATAAAGTAAGATTTCAGAGGTCCAGATCACCCCCATAACCCTTTAGCAACTGCAATGGCACCTCAAAGCATCTCAAAAGTCTATAGCTTGGGCAAAGAGCGCACATTAGGCAGGAGCTGATACAGTGAAACATGAAATCCCTGAAGTAACCAACCAAATGTCCTCTACCACGCATTATCTCTGCTATCATGCAGCAGGGCTTGCTTAGAAAAGGGCAAAACTGCATTCCAGACTGTATGGAGAAGAAAAAATCCACCAGCCCTAAGTACCTTATGGTTTAGGTGAAAGAAAGATGTACAATCAAGTGCAAAATAGTAAAAGAGTGGGAGGATCATGGGCAGCAAAAGTAAGTTCAAAAGTCAAACTGAATTCTCTCAAAACCATCTGATGAACTGTCATGAGAGAGAAACTAAGGCTGCTTGTACTGATCGCTAGAACTGCTAAAGCAGCGGAACTCTTCTATGCAACTGCAGTATCTTACACTGGGTTGGTCCAAAATAGAACCTGTATAAAAGATGAAGATACTTTCAAAAATGCAAATTACTTGTTCCTTACTTATAGCATACATTTTTGAATTAATGCATCTGATTTTAAATACCTGTATTTAGAAGCTTTAAAAGCTTCATAAATTTTCCAGTGAAGCTTGGGTGGAGTGCCTCTTTGACCTGCTTGATTACTACATACAGCATCTCCGCTATGAACATCGTATCTACCATAAGTGAACGCAGACAATAAAACAGGGCTCTGGAAGTCTTACCAATTAAAAACCAACATATTACGTGCGGTAAAAATTTCAGAGAGTGACTTAATGTCATGACTTCAGCTATTACATGGACTTTCTCATGTACTTAAGTCAACTGAATAATAGTGATGATGCTGCGTATGACAGGAACTCTGCCAATACCACATTACCCCACAATGCAGTACAGTCATACTGAAACGTATTTATTTACCAAACTGAAGTAGGAGATCATCTTCTAGCTCTGGTTTCAAATACTCCTCTCCTTCCCAAGGCAGCGGGCTGCTGAGTGAACTCAAATATGCTGCTGTTGGTTTCTAGACAGAGGGAGAAGAGCATGTAGGCCAAGTTTCTTTGAAAACACCAGCCCTTTAATTTAATAAGGCAAAGATCTGTTCTTCCACCCGTTAAAATAAATAGAGTATTATTAAAGTAGCTTTGTAGCAAAGGCTGAGAAAGATACTACTTTAAAGCATGACGAGCGAGAACAGTGAAGAAATGAACTTCTGGCTTCCATCCTGGCTCTGACAGCAAGTACTTACCTCAGTATAGTGACACTACAACCACGGGGGCCAGAGAACAGCATAAAACTACACCTAGGAGCTAGTCTGAGTCCCAAAGCCCAGAAAGCTACAGGCTCAAGGAATTCAGTACAAGCAGTAAAGCACAGCAGATTGACAGACATTGAAGGATACTTGTAGGATTACACTGCTATCGGGAACCAAGTTTACTCCGGTGTGCGACTGTGTCAGACCCATAGCTTACAACAGGGCTAATCAATAAATCCAAGACACTAATCGTGCCAAATGTTTTTTACACGAACAGCGCTGTAGGGTTGTATTTCAGAAACGCTATATTCTCTCCTGTTTGCATGCGGCCAGTTAATACTGTGTCGGGAAAGGAGAGGTCAGATTCTAGACTTCAGTTTTTCTGTTTCTGTGTTTACTCTGCATAGCTAGTTATGCCTTAAATAACTATTTGAGGATTTAAGATTTGAAGATTTAAGTAAAAAATGCTTAATTACGTAAGATGGTATTAAGCCTAAACCTAAACTTTTAGGGAACAACCAAAGAACATACTTCCAAGTCACAGAATACACAAAATATACCCAGGCCTAACTTAAAACTGTAGGTTCCCATCAGCTTTCCTGATTCTGGTATCATTTTAGCAGAGATGAATTTTAGGTTCTGTAACCTAAGGGATCAGGTGTTGTCCTTACTAACAGTGCAGTACGGCTCTGGCCACCTCACATCCCCAGGAAAGACTCTTTTACACCAACACGCATGTGAGGACACCTCAGTTATCAAGAAGTGAACCCATTACTGGAGCAAGACAGCAGAGTCGAAGGCCAAGATGAATTAACAAAACATGATACTACGTAGCATGGGCTTTTTGCAAGTCTGAACATCCTCTTCTGGAAACAGTAAAACTCACATTAATTAAAAAAGAAAACAACTTTTAACTGTTTTAATTCCCGTGATTTCTTATTTCTAGAAATATAACACAAAATTTCATACAGTTGTTTAAAAAAAGGCAAATTGAAAGCACAGCATCTTGATTTCCCATTCTCCAGACAGAGTGTGGAAGTAATAAGTGGCACACCTACCTTTAATCTAACAAAGTTTATTAGTTTAACGTATCCATAAAAATCAAGTCCTGAAAAGAAATAAAAGGGGGGGGTGGGGGGAAAAAAAAAAAGTAAAGAGAGCTTGCATTACAGAAAACCCACACGCATTTTACAATTAATTGAATACTAATTACTTGTCCAATTGGTCAGCTTCCCTGGGGGTGTAGATTGTTATCTAGGGCAGCCTTCCTATCTCAAGTTTGCCATCTACATTTTTCTTCTCTTTAGGACCAAACCAGGAAATTCTCACCCTCAGGACAAATACATTTGCTGCAAATGAAGAACAGAACACATGCAAACGTGGCTTATGAACAGGGATTTCATGCATTTGGCAAGCAACTACATCAGGACAGCCACATTTACCTCCTACTAGCTACCTTGCTGATATTTTAGGCTGTTGTGCTCCTTTGTTCATAATTTTGGCTTTCTGCTTAATAAAATATAAATTGATCCTACTCATCAAGAATATACACAATATTGATTTAAAACTGCCACCTAGCTCAGAAATAACAGTAGTTTAAATGCAGTTATGTAGTCTCCTCAAGAACGGCGAGGATACTGCATAAACTCAAAATACTTTCCATTGGATTTTATACAGAAAACAGACCAGATCTTACAATTTTACATGCAGATTTCTAAACGCTTCGTGTGGTTCTCATCCCCTTATCTCTCTCTCCTTTTTAGCGCATGCTCTTAAAATAGTGTTTCTCCAACACTGTTCCCCTTCCCCTGGCATTCCAGTTTTCCTCTGTATGTAGGAAGAGACGGATTTCAGCCTCAGTAGTTCAGCACTTACCTAACTCTCCCAAAGCCCGCCCCCTGCCCCCGCTTCACATACATCCTCCTACATGTTCCTTCCTTCAGTCACCACCTTGGCCTAAATACGCGACAGCTTCAAGTGAAAGCCAACCTTAAACTTCACTTGGAAAGAATGAAACAGCCATCGGAGGGTATGCCTTTCCCTGATCCCCTGAGGGAACGCAAGCCAAGACTGCAAACGGCCACTGAAAAGACACCAGCAGTACTGCCCAGTTACTTGACCTCTCCGGGGATACACCCACTTTGGTCTCTGCCAAGCTCCTGAGCCCAACAACAGTATCACTAGTCCCGCAAGAGATCCCAAGAGATCAGGTCAATCGCTCTTACTCCAGCATGCAGCGGGCGGGCTCAGGTCGATCAAGCAGGCGGCGGGGACGCAGCACAAGCCAGCAGAGATCAACCTTACCTTTGTCACTAGTCGAGAGCTTTACCAGTAGATAAAGCATATGGGAAACGGCCAGCGTAAAGATAACATAGAAGCACTTTTCTACAATAGCTTATCTTGTTCAATCTTGGAATCTTCAGCTACAACCAGGAAATCAGTTAGAAACAAGCTAATCTTCACAATTTATTTTAAACGAGATGCTGGTACACAGAAGGAAATGACAAGTCATGGTGAAAAAACTTACCATGTTTCTTGATCACATCACAAACATTAAACTGATGCTCGGCTTTGCAGTGGGAGAACACACCTTCAGCAGAACTAAACAACCTGTAAATAACAAATTATTAAATATGCAGTATTAACATGTTTAGAAGCTGCACGAGTTTTATATGCTCTGTTCTGACCTGCTAGGCAACGTGTTCAGAACGCATCGTTTTTGCCTTTGAGAAAGGATGAACAGGCACCTGCTTACTCGCACCCCTCACAAAGCAGCTTTCACCTTCTTTGCAGAACTTTTTGCAACAAAAGACAGTAAACGCAAAAACTTTGTTTGACAAAGCCAGGCGCGCTGTTAACTTCCAAAAACTCCTTTAGAGCAAAACCAGCATTAAAGGCAAAATCGGAGAACCACACATATACGAGGCGAGTCGGCCAGCCGGATCTGCTGCATCAAAATAAAAATCCTCATCTATTTCCTGACGGTGGGAAAAGATGACAGAGAGAATTCGAGAGGTAAACTTCCACGCTGCTTCAGAGCCAGGCCAGGGGAATTACCTGCTTTCCACGTTACTTCTCCCCGCTTTAGTCCGGATTTAAGAGACCTGTGGCTCTAGTGAAGCCGTACCCAAGATCAACAGGCTACAGAGCCCTGTTGCAAACCACGTATTATTTACTGTTCTGACGTGGCTGCCTCCCGCAGGCCGAGTTTGGGCGCTCGCGCCCCAGCCCCCTCCCGCGAGGGGCTCCGCGGGGACGACCGCGCCTCAAGAGGCCCCT